CTCTATGAATCCCAAATTGGTTTCAATAGTCTCACACATCTTAATTAGAGCCATAGATAAGGATTTCTTTAGGTGCAAATGTGCAAACTACTCTATAGAGAAGTATCATTATATCGCCTATCAATCAATCTCCTTTGGTCACTTCTTTTCCCCGACCAAACTAAATTAATTTTCAAGTCCTTGTACTTCCTATGATATCAAAGTCATGGAACTCTTTTAGGAAACAATCCACATTTGTCCTCTGAAAGTTAGAATTTGTAGACCAAGAAAGAGCCTCTATCTGCACCGTGAGAATGATGATAATAGTTAAAATGGGTTGATGTGTGATGTCCTCTACTCTTCCAACATCTTCTTCAGCTTCATTGGTTGTCAACAACAGCTCCCAGTTGATCTCTTATGGCTCGTAATATGGAAAGTGCTCCAACATCATCTAGAGGAAGGTCATGCATCTCTCTTGATTGACAGGTGGGATCCATGGAGTCGAGCTTGAGACTATGACAATAAACATTTTTTTTTAATATTTCAAGAGGGTAAAACTGATACTTCAGAAGAGATAAAAAAGCAAATTGCCCCACAACCTTCTTGGGTCCGCCCCTGTTCTTGTTTCATTCAGATGACATGTATGGTATATGCATATGGTTCAGGTGCTAAATACATAAATAAAGATTTTTTCCATGACATGCCTGTTAAAACCCCTAAATTATTTATATAATACTTCACGTGACTGATTTTTTGGTTAAAAAAAAAATATAGAGATTAAACACATATAAATAAAGCTAATAATATGAATTAATACTTCACGTGACTGATTTTTTGGTTAAAAAAATATAGAGATTAAACTCATATAAATAAAGATAATAATATGAATTTTTTTGTGACTAACATCTTATTTTGATTATTACTATATTTTTATAAAAATCAACAAACAAAAAAAAAATAAAAATACATTTCCTTTTATTCAATAACTTAACTAAATTAGCTGTCATCTAAATTTGATAAAAGAAAAAAATAATGAGAATACTTTTACTTAATTTTCATAAATAATATTTGTTATTATGTTTTTTTTAATATAAATATAATATGAATTATAATTGCTAGGTTTATAGTATCTTTGTCGGCTAGGATAGATTTTTTATTTGGTTTTAAGATTACTCCAATTTAAAATTATTCCTCCATGCTTCTCATTGACAGTTATAACTGTCCATCGCCGTTCCCAGATCTTAACGGCGTCATTCCCCCGGTGCTCTTCCCAGCACTCTTCCACCCGAAGGAAACGGCGCGCGGTTAAGAAAAGCCCCACGCCTCCTCCTCCTCTCGGTTTCTCTCCTCTTTCTCCGCCACCATGGCGTCTTCCTCTGGCTCCAGTGGCGGCAGAGAAGACCCCGAGGTAGGATTCGCGAAGTTACAGGGAGAGGATTTCGAATACTACATGCAGACATATTCGATCGTTCTAGGGCGGAACAGCAAGCGCTCGGAGGTGGATGTAGACCTAGCGATCCTCGGCGGCGGCATGAGCATATCTCGCAAGCACGCACGCATCTTCTACGATTTTACTCGCCGGAGATTCGCCCTCGAGGTTCTTGGGAAGAACGGATGCTTGGTTGAAGGCGTCCTCCACTTGCCCGGCACGGCGCCGGTCAAGCTTGATTCGCAGGATCTTCTTCAGATCGGGGATAAGAAGTTCTATTTCTTACTTCCTAGTCGTTCTTTGTTCGCGTCCTCCACTGTGCCTCGGCACCAGGTTGCGGTTCCAATGCATATGCCCCAGTCGGCGCAGTTGATTTCTAGGGGAGAGGAACCGACCTATTGGCGTGGAGACGGTGATGATGGTGAGGAGAGGTATGAAGAGGAAGAGGAGGGGGTTTTGCAGAGAATTAGGAGAGATGCAAGGGATGTGTATCGAGCATCAGGTAAAATTGGTGCCTGAAACCATATTCTTTATTTGAAACATGATGTTTTTTGATAGTTGCATTTCTTACTTAAACTGGTTTGGCGGTTCTATTGGAATTGTTTGTCTTAGATGCGTGCATAAATTTGTTCTGATTCTGATGCTCTGCTGAATTACATGCAAGTATCAGGTTTAAGGATCCACTATGAGTGAATTATCCTAATTGTTCACTTGTATGTTGTAGCACTTCTGATTTTAATCCCGTTTCTTAGTTGGCCTTCTACTCTTCTGCTATATTTTATAGTTATACACGGCTTGTTGCATTCTAAATTCAATTTTCAACTTTTTTTTATTTCCATGTCTGATCTTATATTCCGGGCCTTTATATTATTATTTTACTTTCTATTTAGTTTCTTATGTCAGTCTACAGAACCCCCTTTTTAATAATTTAATAATTTTGCTTAAATTTATTTGATCTCACCAAATGGATTTACTATCTTGAGTTTGTAAGATTTTGGCTTTCTTCGTTGATAATAGTTTCCACCCATCGTTACTCTCATGGCTTCACAATGCAATAGAAAATACACTGACCAATGTACTCAATTGCGATGATATGGTGGATTCAGAAGGATGGTTAGGTTGGCTTTATTATATGATATTGTTTAAGTGCTTAGGTACAGATTTAGCTTTCCTCCTAGGATGAATATCTGATTTCCTTTCATCTTGTCATGGAGATTATACGGCTGTGGGTTTCTCTAATACGAAAGAGAACTCAATAAAGATCCAAGCTATTCCAATTACCTGAGAACATACTTGGCAAATCAAACATAAAAATATTTGACCAAAACCCAACTCGGCTGGAACCCACCTAATGCAAACCTAAATCGTCTAGCCCATTTAATTATTATATGGATCATACAATATTTTTTATCAACATAACTTAGTTAACCCGAACTGTGCTAGCTTAACCCAAACGTGAACAGTTATCTGGTTAATGTAGATCAACAAGATATGTATCTTTTTTTTTACGTGCTATCAGCATAGTACCCAGGGTCATATGGGCACCATATTGTGAAACTCTTACATATTCTCATCATTATCCTATCTTGTACATCTTGAACTCTTACAATGTTTAGGGTTTAACATCAACAAAATGAAAGTTTCCATAACCTCCCCCAGAATAATTAGATATAAAGTCTTTATATGGTGTTTAATGAAAAGACTCAATTATGTCCTGAATACGGAATTCAATAGAACTACCCACACTAAGGACTAATGCATTATAAATTTATTCACTTGCAACATTGACAGATTTCTCCAAGTTGAACTCTGTTCACCACTCCTCCATGGTTAATAAATTTCATTTTGGCCAATTTTTTCACATTGCCTGCACGCGTCACTACAAACTTTGATTTGCTTTTCTACTAATATGTAGTTCTATATTTACTGTTGTCTCTTTGTGCACTTCTTCATATACCTTTAAAATTTTGAGTAGAATTATAAGGATCTTTATTTGATTCTCATCTTCTGAAGTCCTCACTTAAGATCTTGTCATAAATATTTTACCTTTATAACTGTATAAACTGCTAATTTCCGTTACAGTTCCAACCCAGAACTTCATCATTGAATTTGACATAAAATAATTACAACTTATGATAAGATTGAACTTATTGTTATCTAACATTATTGATGTTCTTTCAACCATTTTGAGATTGAAAAGTTTTCTTATTTGTTGCTCAAGATTTCTTAAAAAATTCCAACAAAGCTTTCATCACACCAACAATGGCCTTCTCTTGCGATATGTTGAAGACAATATTTGTTTCGTTAGTGACTAATGCATAATTATTTTCATCTCTCTATCCAAATGTTCTCAGACTTCTTAGCTCCTGTTAGATGTAACTTTCTTTGGTGCAAGTAATCAGTGATCTGCATCCTCTACTCTGAAATCCTTTCAATTGAAACAATCAACCTTCACCCTCCCATCTTTATACGTTATTGCTTCAATTTTCTCGTTGACCCCAAAACTAGCCTAAATTTGATACCATTTATTGTGAAAAGCGCATGCTCAAGAGTAATGACAATCATAGAAATATGAAATTTAATACAATGATAGGCAAGAAAAAAAAGAAGTTAAGATTTACATGGTTCAACAACGTTTGTCCACAACTATAGAGAGAGATATTCATTCGACTAGATTGGAGATAAATACAAAATATCCACTCAAATATTTTTTTTTTATTTATCTAACTAATATTATTCCTTCTTTCCTCCATTCCCTTTCCAAATCTAAATATGCACTAGAAATTAAAAAAATTTGTTGCCTCTTATGTCATATTGCCTTGTTAGTCAATGGCCTTTATGATAGTAATATTCCTCTTGCAAAAAGGCCTTTAACTTGAAATAATCATCTCCAATTTTTTAGTCTTATTTAACATTCAATGAAGAAATTCCTTTGTCCTACACCAACTGAGATGACGATCAAACTCTAATCACTCTACTGGCCATATATCCATCCTCAACCCTTACGCCTAACTGAAAAAACAAAAAAAGATTGAGGGATGCCTTTCAACACCATGCAAACATTTCATTATATATTGTTTAAATGTGGGAATGATATTTTAAAGATTATATAGATAGCTTTAGGAGTGAGGAAACATACTTGTAGATATTAGGTGGATGGTTTTGAGATGGAAACATACTTGAAGAAGTTAGTGGAGTTTTCATAAATGAATGAAAAAAATAGGTATATTTTGACTTAGCAATCAAAGTTAATGAAAAAAATTAGGTTTTCCATCGAACAACAATTTTTGGGGATAAAGCAAATGGTTATGTTTTAGACCCATTTGTTATATTTATTTCTCAAGTCAAAATTTCATCTTGCCTTCTTTATTATTATAATTATTATTTTAGTTTCTCTAGTCTTGCCCTTACATACATTGAATGCACAAATTATAGGAGACACTTTTAGTGTGCATTTTTGTTCTTGATGTTGCCTGTATACCAACTCACTTCCATCATCATTTTTTGAAACGTCTACTTTTGGTAAATATAAGATGTTCTATTCGTTAGTTTTCGAAGAGACTACTATGCTCTTCCATATGTTTAGGACTTCAGTACCGATTGACATAAACATAGGAAATATACTTGTTTCTTTTCTGTTATAAAAGATACTTTTAGCAAGCTAATAGCTTTTTGATGAAAGACCCAAAAACATTGGTTCTGTTTGACATGTTAACATGGATTTAAGAGCGATACTTAAGTTTTCTCTGGTAATTTTGTGTTGTTGTATCACTCAATTTGTTGAGTGGAATTTCCTTTGATATCTAAAGTTAGGTCCAAGGTTCGAATCCTTTAAAAAAAATAAAAAAAATTTTATCCCGTGTTGTCAGAAATAGTCACCATTGCCCTCATATAAATGGCTGGTTTGTTCTACAAAGGCATTGCCCATGGTTTTCTAGCTATAGAGCTACAAGAGCCGTATAACTTTTTTTCTTTGCATGTTTTTTACATAAATCAAAACTGTGATATGCCATTTTTTTTTCCTAACCTCGCTTGTTTGGTTAATGACATTTATAGTTATTGATTGGCTAATTTTCAGAGCAGATTGGAAATTTTGTCATTACTTTGCATTTACATGACCTAATCCTGTTTTATTTATTCTAGCAGCTCGCTTTGATCTTCTAATTTATACCTCTCATTAAGATGTTTGCTTCCTGTAAAATTTTGTTAGTTATGAGTAATCATCTTTAGCTTTTTCTAAACTCCTTGGTGGTTATCTGAAATGCCATGTTTCTCACATTTATGCAATACTGAATTCAACGGGTAGCTTTCGTGCTTCTATTTTTTTTATAAGTATAATTTTTACAAAAATTGATGAAATGCATACAAAGAGCTAATGGCAAATATATGCCTTCCTTGTGAATGTTACCATCTTTACTTGCCACACATAAACTTATGAATGATATTTCTTTCCTGTTCTCAGCTGCAAATTCCTTGAAAAGGTCAAGAGCTAACAGAGAGGCAGACGACCATCAACTTATGCTGTTAGAAGAGAAAGATGTTCTCACTTCTGTGGCCTCCATACTGTCCTACACATGTCATCTTGGAGAATGGATGTCTCTGGCAAAACTCCATAATGAGGTCAGTTTTACACGAAACATTATAACACTCAGTTAGCCATCAGATAGAGCATCCAAGCATACTCTTTTTGGTATTCTCAAAGTAATATTAATCTAAGAGTAAAGTGTCAAAATAATCTCCTGCCTATTTACATGGAGCTATTTCAATCTTAAAATCTATCAAAATGTCAAATTATTCCCAATACTATTTTAATATGGGTTGAAATAATCCCCAAGTACTATATTAGCCTCCTTAAAAAGATTTCTGAAAACCAAATTGACATTTTTATAAACTTTCGGACTAAAATAAGCCCCAACAAGCATGCTTTTTTTGGTATTCTCAAGACTAATATTAAGCAAAACTTCTTAGATGTATAGCTCTTTTAATATACATATCAGTTGCTCATTCATTTTACTTCAGGTGAGACACCACTCTCAATTTTTTTGTAGTACACTTAGCAGTCTCCAAATGATTTGAATGATTGATAGACATGTTTAAAGTTTTTGGATGATAATAAAATGATTATAAGTTGTGGATGATAATAAACTTTATCTGATCATAATAACATTTTTAGAATTTCTGTCTTGACCGTTTTGCATAAGTTTTGCATAAGTCGAATTCTAGAAGTACATCATATTATCAAGCTAAGCATGAAATTGAGATGGTTTTTTTACCCCATTTTCTTTTTAAGATTTTTGGTGGGGAAGTGTATTTTATAACTAGTTATACTAGAGTTTGTCAATTATAAGAAGACTAATTTGACTTTATTTGTTGGAAAAAAAAATCTATAATATCCACAATAATTTTTATATGTTGTGCTTCTCTTACAATAGTTTCTCAACTAATTTCACATATGGCTACAACCATTTGAAATGCAGACCAAGTTTGCTTTTACCATTTGTTTTGTAAGATTTTTTTTTCTGATCACATCTTGTTGTATGCCAAAAAATAACTCGATTCAGGAAATTATGAATTTCGCTAGATTTCATTGTTAGAAAATACCATTGTCCATGGGTATTAATTTTTGGGACTAATTTTGCTTTTGTTTTTATTTTTTCTGTAATTTTTAAAAATGTTTATTAAATTTATTTTTCACATATTTTGATTTTCTATTTTTTAAATTAAATCAACTTGTTTTTCAAAATATTAAAAATAACTTTGCTTGCTTTAGGCTTTTTAAAAATAAGTTGATTTGTTTTTAATTTATCAGACATAATTTATTTTAATTAAAAAACAAAATAAAAACAGAATAAAAAATAGACAATGAAAGTGATCTCAAATGGCCCTTTCACAATGTTCTTAAATTGTATGAAAGTTTACAAAAGACGAAATTGTTTCTGTTCCTGAATTCTTGCTCTAATAAATTGATTTAATATCAGATGGTAGAACAGTATGGCAATCTATGGCATCACAGCAGGATCAGAAGATATTTAACTTCCGAAGATTGGCCTCAGCGAGAAACCACAGGAAGGCCATGGTATGGTCTATCGATGCTCCTGAGAAAATATCCGGAGCACTTTGTAATCAACACAAGAACAAAGGGAGGTGCGACTGTCGAGTTTGTTTCCATGGTTTCTCCCATCTCTTAGATTCATTCAATGCACCTTCCTTTTAATTTAAAGATTTTGAAAGTTATTTCATTTTTATTTATGAAAAATAATGTAGCTGAGCAATATTGCTCCTCCTTTTTTTTCTTAAAGAAGGAATTTGATCTCAAGAATTTATAATAATTTTCCAGCTCTTTAGCAAGTAAATTATAATTAATATTGTGCCGCCAGAATACCTTCATTATTTCGGCTTTATTAGTTTTGATGGTTAACATTCTTCTTTTAGCCAATGTCATTTAGTTTTCAATTCAAATTGATTGGATTTGGCAGTGAGGAGCTGTAGCAGTTGAATTCTGAAACACCTTTTAATTCTTATGTAGTCTCTTAGAAAAATTTGGCAGTTTGTGAAACTTCGATTCTTTTCAAATTGAAATGTTTTGACTTGTTGGATTTTCTGCCAGGTAGGGATTTGCTGCCAAACGTATGAAAAAAAATAAAAACTTAGGCATATCTCTTTCTCGTAGATTAGTACACTACAAATAATGGTAATGCAACATAATTTAGTGTTTATAAGGAAGCCAGATAAAAGGCATAATATAAATCATAAAAGATATTAATATAAATTATAATACAAAATTTCATAATTTTGATGCATAAATTAAAATGCTTTGAAGGGCAGCCTGTAACAGCCAAAAGGCCAACTGCAGGTAATGCAAACTTGCTGCTTAATGCCTATTTCAAAGCATTAACAAGAGTTACAGTTACTATGGACGACAAAAAACTAAAATGAAAAAAATTAGTCATGCACTCGAGAAATTGATTTTATCAACAAAAAATCTCTACGCAAATACATTCACCCATCATTTAATGGCATTTTTAATAGAATTCTCTATGAGAAAACTGATGAAAATTTGTACCAAAATCCTCTTTTAATCTACAATTAATACATGCTTCAATAGGTTCAGTGCAAGCGACAGAGAAAGAACTTAAAAAGCACAGCCAAGAAACTAAAGAAACTATAGAAGTATCCCCAGTACAGTCTAATATTGAATAGAATAATGGGAACAGAGTTATTACACTTAAATGCATTTGGTAAATTATGTGAGCCCTGGTTTACCATAATAGGAGCCCATATACACACAAATAATGAAGAAAAAAAAAAAGTAACTTTAACAGATTATTTAAAAAACCCCCACTGTAAAAACAAGGGTAAAAAACTGCTTCAGACTTGTATTCTCTCCAATTAATCATGGTATTTGCACTAGTGCAGTTATCTCATCTCAACTGTCAATTTCACTTTGAGTGGTTGTGATTGATTCAATTGAACTCCTTCAAAAAAAAACTAAGGCTTTAGTGCACTCAAACCCAAATACTCAAAAGTGGATTATACAACTGAAATGAGAAACTGAATCCAACAATCAAATGGCAGCTGGCTCCATCTCGCCATCATCAGACATTGAAGATGTGCCGCCAAGAACCTTCTCAAGTTCTATGTCGCTCCCTTGGGACTCAATCCCAGATCTCTTTCTCCTTCCGACTCCACCCCTTCTTTGGTGTTCTAATCGAAGGCAAAAAAAAAATCAAAATTTGATCAATCAAAGGGAAATTTACATTCATGCTAACACCCAAATTTTGATATTTACATTTAAAACACCTTGGTCTCATAAACCTATGCATGAAAATATATGCTTCACTTTTAAAAAGATAGCGATGGAGATACTTTTGATGTGATGTTTGACGACTTGAGTGGTATGAATGTTTAGGTGTTAGATATGTAAATACATAAGAATTTTGTGGCATGTATTTAAATGCCCCTATATTAAATAATAGTCTGCAACCAACTGATCATGCAATCAAGAAAAAAATGTTGTTTGTTATTACTTTTACTGGTGATAGCATTGCGTGTTATGGCGAGGAACTCGTCCCATTTATACTGGCTAAGTTCTTTCTTCTCCTCCTCTTGAAGTTCAAAATTTGGCTCTCTACCACACAGGAAAGCCGCTCTGTGAAGAAAGAGGTTAGCAAGTTATCAAACTGAGGAAAGTTGGATAGCAGAGATGAGCTGCCCATTTTTTGAAAAAAAATCTTAATGAAGTAGAAAAATAGAATATGACGTATGAATCCGGCTGCTGAGAATATTCTACTTTCTCATAGGATTTAAAAATGCATGAGATAAAGCAATTAAAATTTCTGGAAAGAATGAGCTTTATATGGCATTTGCAGACCAATACTGGTAACCAAAAACTGAAACAAAAAAAAAATCAAAGAATGAGTTGAAATTATCACTCAAATTTTTCTTTAAGTTATTATTTATCATATCTAACTTTAAGTGGACAGTCCGAGTGTGAAATCTCCGTGTATAGAAATTTTCATGTTCTTTACACCAACAGCAGAAATTTTAAGAAAATAATCTATTGCTATTTTCTCGCTTTACTAGATTTCAAGCTAAACGTTCCAAATGACTATGTAGCATTTTTTGCCTTAGTATACCTTTTTTCCTAGCTTTTCTTACTAAATTTCATTGATATACTTATATCATTATCTAGTTAATATATTCTGTTTTATATTAAAAAAAAAATCAAAGAAGTAAAACCTTAATTTTCAACTCCAAAGAACTTACTGGTTGAGATTTGTGATCAACTTCACATGCATAGGTAGGGCGGCATATATGTAAAAATGAAATTTTAGGTGTTAAGTATGTAAATACAAAAGAATTTGAGTGATATGTATGTAAATCTTCGTAATAGATATACTTCCATATGGATTATAGAGTTTAGGCTGTATTGGACTGGTATTATGTTATTAGAAGATAGTGATAGAATATTCAAATAGTTGACAAAATTTTAGGCCGAAAATGATGGTTGCAATGACATAATTTTTAGGAAAATTGAAAGGCCAAGTACCTATCATACAATCGCGCGGCTTCTTCTTGGGAGCCAACAGTGCCCAAATGGATCTGCTTCTTATCAACTTTGATGGCTGCTTGCCATTTCATGTTTTTGAAATATACCCCTCGCATTATGCATGGTTCTTGGTCTTCATAGTACTTCCTCCGGTGTCTCCTTCTGCGTTTGATTTCTTTAACTGCAGATGGATTTTTATAACGGCAACAGAGAAGATAAATAAAACAATTTAAAAGAAAACAAGTGATAGTTTCTTGAAGTGAAAAAAAAATGAGAGAAAATTTACATACATAGCACAAAATTCCTATGTATTTACATATCTCACACCCAAACTTTCATATTTACATACACAGTACTTTAGTACTTTAAACCCATACATGAAAAAGGTATATTTCACTTTTAAAAAGTGATAATAATGCTATTTTTATTGTGATATGAAAAATTTGAGTGTTATGTAAATAAGAAAGTTTAGGTGTGAGATATTTACTTTCGTTCTGTGATTGAATTAGTCTCCCCAAAACCCTAATATTTCAAAGCGGCATGGAAAATCCCGAATGAACATGCAATTTAAAGAAGTTTTCCAATGAGAGATTTATTGGTGAATCTCGCCAAGAGTGCTTGACCCTATGTTATATCAAATTCCATCTCTATAGTTGAAAATATATAGCTTAATTCCTAAAGGCCAAAACAGGGGGAACATTAAAAAATGCACCAAAGAACATACAAAGGCGAAGTCATCAGCTTGAAAAATCACACAAAAATCATTGATTTCTATTAATGTCAATGCATATGTCTGACATATTGGAAGAGTAGATTTTATCATTGAATCTTATATAAGGAGGTTAGTCAACTATGGATGATTTTTATTTAAGTCAAAATCAGATAATAAACATGGATCATCAAGCCCTCCTGCTAAACAGTAACATGAGGCATGTAACTCTCAAATAAAATAGATTAGCAATGAAGAACTAGCCTGGAAAATAATTATTTGTTTCCACTTTTGGTATGGGAGAAGCAGACACGGTTGCAGCTCCGAAGCTTGTTTCAGAGATATTTACCTGAGAAAAGTACACTAATTGAGAAAAAAAGATGGGATAAAGCACAGCTTCATACAAGTACACATGATAAGGAAAATAAAAACTTCAAAATCATTTTTGGTACAATTGTCAAGCCCATAAGCATTTAATTATATGTGCAAATATAAATATCAAAAGATTTGTATGTCCGTATTTAGTAGTACAGGTTCATTCAATTTCAAGATCCCCATGCCTCATCTTATAACATTTCAAGGAAGAATGGAGTTGATGAAAATAAAAAAGAAATCAAGTCATGCTAAAAAAATAATGATTAAGCAAGAAACTTCCTAGGGAACAGTGAAAAAAAAATGCATTGCTGGATTAAAAAGCTAACAAAGATGTTGACCCTCACATCTACTTCACAAGGTGAATAAAGTGAACATGACAAAAACGATAATCACCGAAAGTGATGTCTCCCAAGATGAATCCAACGAAGTTTGATCGTCATTAAAACTACCGGAACGTCATCCATTCATAAAACTAATTACACAGGCGCACCCAAAGTAATTGATGACCATCGAAATTGCTTAAATGAGCTCCATTCACAACAAACCGCAGAGGTTCGTTGAGAACATCAAAAATACCTAAAGAGGACACCTACATTGTCGGATCTTTGCACGTAAGACATTGGCATATAATTTGAGGTTGCAACACGAAGATGCATGTGAAAGGGTGAATGAATACTAATATATATATATATATATATATATAAGTCATCTCTCCTACCAAAGGCAAACTCAAATTGGGGTGTGTAAAAGCATGAACAAATTCAAAACTTGAGCATCATAATCATAGAAATCTAGATAAGCTTCCAGCCAAAACCGAAAATTTCAAGATCCCCATGCCTCATCTTATAACATTTCAAGGAAGAATGGAGTTGATGAAAATAAAAAAGAAATCAAGTCATGCTAAAAAAATAATGATTAAGCAAGAAACTTCCTAGGGAACAGTGAAAAAAAATGCATTGCTGGATTAAAAAGCTAACAAAGATGTTGACCCTCACATCTACTTCACAAGGTGAATAAAGTGAACATGACAAAAATGATAATCACCGAAAGTGATGTCTCCCAAGATGAATCCAAAGAAGTTTGATCGTCATTAAAACTACCGGAACGTCATCCATTCATAAAACTAATTACACAGGCGCACCCAAAGTAATTGATGACCATCGAAATTGCTTAAATGAGCTCCATTCACAACAAACCGCAGAGGTTCGTTGAGAACATCAAAAATACCTAAAGAGGACACCTACATTGTCGGATCTTTGCACGTAAGACATTGGCATAAAATTTGAGGTTGCAACACGAAGATGCATGTGAAAGGGTGAATGAATACTAATATATATATATATTAGTCATCTCTCCTACCAAAGGCATTACCCAAATCTTCCAATTTGGCGTCAGACCTATCTTTCTCCCTTGCTATCAAGCAGACTGACCTACTATAGTAGAATATAAATAAATAAATAACAAAATCCTATGCTAAGCTCAATTAGGGATGTAAAGGTGTCAAGTCGAGCTTGAGTCACCCTCGGCTTGAGCTTGATTAATTAACTGGGTTCCAACTCAACATCAAGAATTCTACAAGTTCGAGCCAACTCACGAGCTAACTGATTTATTAAAAAAGAGAGAAAATAATAATAAATTAAGCTAGTATTATGTAAAAAAGACATAGAATGAGCAATTATAAGATAAATAATGTGAAATCACTTAATATAAATATCATTTTTAAATATTTTTAATACTTTAAAAATAAACCACTGTTTGACCTGAATACAGTGAAAAAAGTGCAAGGGCCAAAAGGGTTGCGATTGGTAGTTGACAGCCAGCGTAAAATTTGTTAAAAAATCATGACATAAATTCTTTAGATCCCTGTGTAAATGCTTGGAATAATGTGAAATCACTTAATATAAATATCATTTTTTAATATTTTTAATACTTTAAAAATAAACCACTGTATGACCTGAATACAGTGAAAAAAGTGCAAGAGCCAAAAGGGTTGCGATTGGTAGTTGACAGCCAACGTAAAATTTGTTAAAAAATCATGACATAAATACTTTAGATCCCTGTGTAAATGCTTGGGCGTCCCTTGGAAGCGACGCGCTATATGACCTGAATATAGTGAAAAGTGTGCAAGAGTCCATATATCGACGCCTGGGTGTAGTTACAAATAAGTAAGAGTTCCCACATTATAAGCGGATGCGGCTAAATAAGTTAGTTCATGAAACTAATATTAGGATAAGATCTTGGAATATAAATATTCTCATAAGTAAATTAATTGAATTAGTTGATATTATGACTCATAGGCACATGTAGACCTAGAAAGCTTTGGGCATATTGTATAAAAAATGATCTTAATTTATTAAAATTTAATGAAAATATGACACTCAATAGGACTCAATGGAGAAAAAAAGATTCTTGTAGTCGATCTTATTTAGTGGGATAAAAGCTTGTTGTTGTTGTTGTATACTTTAAATGTAAAATCTTGAAATTTAATATATTTTGAGTATATTTTATGTTTTTTTTTTAAACGAGCTAGCTCACGAGCTAACGAGCCAATTTAGGTTTGCTTGAGCTTGACTTATTAGCTTATCGAGCTCAGTTCACGAGCCACTTATCGAGTCAAATTCAAGCCAACTGACAAGTAGGCTTAGCTCACTTACACTTGCTCAATCCCTCGCCTTCACTCACTCTGGTTTTCTCCTACCCGTGTATACCCCAGCAAGCCTCCTCATTGCAGCCCTTATCCCGACTCTCTCTCCTGCCCCCGATCAGCTCTAGCAAGCCAAATCCCAGCCAGCTCATGCTACAATCCTCAACCCAGTCGGTCCCCCCAAGCGCACCTGGTCTCCTATCCAATTCCTCCCTCAAGTTGCACACCTCATATGCTATAATCACCTCCCTATCCATCTCGAAATCTCCCATATTGCCTTCTCTTCCCGACACCTGCGCTGCAAAGCACCAACCTGAGCACAATATTAAAGCACATCCAAGCTCCTAGTCTTCCCCTTATTCGATCCATTAGAACTCAAAAACCTCGTCTCTTCTCATTCTCCATGCAGCACAACCCCCAACTTGCCTGGTTGACCTTGTCTCCTAATAGCTCGCAGCTCCATCTTAGCATGATCCAAAGACCCCTCGGCCTACTCTTTCTCTCTCACCAACAACATACCCACAAATTGCCTTCTCTCTATTATCCCAACCACCATTGAGTACCACCACATCTCTTCCTCGCATTTTTCCTCCTCACATGAAACAGCTAAGCCCACAATAAAAAAACAGAGCATTCACATACATAGCACTCAAACATTGTTATTTGAAATCCACACTCAAATATCAAAATTCACTATAAAACTCCAACTCGTATTTTTCATCAAATTAAGAATGATTTGATTGTGGAGGTTTGATGGTGCTAGTTTTTGTAAATAGCAATGTTTCAAGAGATGTGTATGTAATAATAATAATAATAATAATAACAAAAAGCACCGTCAACCAAACACACACATACAGACTATACTAGCTCGCCACAATTCTCCAACCTTCTTGCTCGCATTTCTATCATGCAAGCTTGTCTTAGCATTGCCTCACACCTCTCCTCCAGCTTTCTTGTTGGATGCAGAGTCCCACCTACCATTAACCCAACTCCCTCCAGTAAACTCCATCGCAACTCCTCTTTATCTTTCTAAACTACCTTCTTCCTTTAAAAAATAGTAAGCATTAAAAAGGGGAAGTGTTTTGTATATTGATCCGCTGAGAACTCATATCGATGTCATCTACCTTTTCAATATAATGTAGCGAATAAGTACCATGCGTGTTATTCTAAAATGGTGAAAAAATTTGAGTAAATTTACGTACCCATGCGTGTTGTTCCAACGTGACAATGAAAAATTATATTTCTTTTGTGCATATATTGAAGGCATATAGATGTTTAGTTAAGCACGATGAGTTCTAAGGAATCTTAGTTACAGTGGCTTCCAACGCCAACCACACATGCTTAGCAAGGTGATAAGACGTTATACTCTCAATGCAACCTCCTAAATAGGGACAACATCGGGAGGCTACAAAATTTGATTGAATGAAATCATAAAGCATTGTACTTAAAGTGCTTACTGAGCACTACAATGGATAATAAAATAAGAAATAACAAAGTTAAAGAAAAAATGGATAATTGAAAGTTCAAGCAAACAATGTTGAATGAGAATTAGAATTAAGCATCAAATTGGATAATTAGAGGTCTCGATACCTCATTCAACGAGCATGAATAGAGCTTACAGTAGACTTGAAAGCTCGTCAATAAGCATTAATAGCACTTGTATGAAATTTACACGTGATGTGAAGGCTCATCAATAAGCAGAAACACAAGCTATAATGACCTCAATGTTCACTTATATTTATGAACACGGTATTTCAATGAACATATGGACAGTATTGTCCAAACTTTGAAAGAACTGAAAGAAAATTGGATTCATGCAAGTGACTTGGAGGAGGCATAACGTATCTACAAGCAAGAAACAAATGCATTGTGTTGAATGCACAAAAAGACTTTAGAAAGTATAACTCACCACCGAATTTGCAATACAAATGCATCAGTGGACAAAAACAAGCAAACATGTTCAAAAGAAACTTTGTATGCTTTTCAATGATCATAATATTCGTGCAAGGGGTTAAATTTTATGCAATATCAAGACATACACGTTCCTCATGGCTATAGTCAACTCAAATATATTTTCTCAAATAATGTTCAAGTGCCTTAAGGTTTGAGCAAGTGCATCAAATAAGATCATCTAGATGCAAGCAACTCAATAAATTTATTCATATGTACTCCGATTAGCGTGTTGAGTACTCGCACCAAATACAAGAATATTACACTGGTGAAAATGGAATTAACTCAAAATTATTTTCGCTCTAATAAGCATGCAAATCATTCAAAATTTATAAAATCTCATTTTTAAAAATCAAACTCAACATCATTAAATGATGCAC